GTCTGAGTGGCCAGGTGAAATGCCGTCTGCTTTCCCTATCACCTATTCAAACCCTGGAACTGCTCAACAGCAGGTTTTTAATGAATCGCTTCCTTATTCTGTAATGAGGGAATTAAGGAAAGCCATTGCTGATTCTGGTCTAAAATCCTCTTATGTGACAGGGATGCTAGAAGGCATAGCAACTGGTTACATTATGCTACCTCAGGACTGGAAAGACCTGATGCGCATGCTTTTGTCCCCTGCTCAGTATGTGGTGTTTGAGAGTGAATTTAAACATAGCGCTTCAGCCCTGTCTGATCCTCAACATACTGCCAATGAACTTTATGGTGCTGGTCAGTTTGCTGATATAACTGCCCAAGCAACGCTGACACCTGTACATTTTGTTCGCACCGCGACCTGTGTACAACGCGCCTTTCGGAAAGTCCCTGTTTCTGGGCAACCGCTGAGCTCCTTTGTAAATATTAAGCAACAGCATTCGGAGCCATACCATCAGTTTATAGATAGATTGAAAGAATCAGTCACTAGGCAGATTGATAACACCACTGCTCAAAATGAATTGATGAAAAAATTGGCCTTTGAAAACGCAAACACTGATTGCAAGAAAGCTTTGCAGTCAATCATACATCGCCCTAAATATGAACTGGCCGATATGATTCAAGCTTGTGCGGATGTCGGTAGCCAGAGCCATGCGATGTCTTTGCTTGCCGGCGCAATCCAAGCAACCACTAGGCCTACTGGTAACTGCTTTAATTGCAAGCGCCCAGGCCATTTTGCCAAGCAATGCAGAGCCCCTGGCGGGGGGGCACACAAGGATGGTGCTGCCTCTAAGGCTAAACCTTCTAAAAAATGCCCGAAATGTGGAAAAGGCTATCATTGGGCTAATCAATTCAGGAGTCCGGGAAACTCCATTGCGGCCCCACTCTCGGGCCAGGGCAATTAGAGAGTTTTCCACCTTTAATTTCTGCTGCTGCAAACTTTTCAAAAAACACACCCTCTGAATTTGCCATTGATTTGATCAATCAAGAGACCAAAGACTCTGTTTTACCTGGTGAAATTGTGCTTATGCCCACTCAATTGGCAGGCCCCCTGCCTCCTAAAGTCGCAGGTTTAATTTTACCCAAATTTTCTGCGGCAAAGGAAGGAATCCAGGTTATTCCTGGAGTTCTGGATCCTGACTATGTAGGCACAATAATGGTTCAACTCTGGAGCCATATGCCCATGCAATTAAAAAGGGTGAGTCTTGGGCGCATTTGGTGGTGCTCCCTTCTCATCCTACTGCTTCTATTATGGATACTAATTTGCACGAGCTCTCTTCTTTCCCTCCACAGCTGTTAGCTGTAGTCCAGAGGATTGGTGAGAAGAAACTTCTTCGTAAGTATAAAATCAATGGTATTGTGCTGGAAGGCTTGATTGACACAGGCGCAGACGTTTCTGTAATTTCTAGTAGTTGCTGGGACCCCACGTGGCCCCTTGAGTCTGCCTCTGCTGTCTGGGGTGTGGGTGGCCCCCAAACCTCTTCCAAAAGCGTACAGTGGCTGCCTGTTTCTCTGCCTGATAGCTCTGAAACCATTGCTTACATCCAGCCCTGTGTGCTGAAAATCCACCTCAATCTGTGGGGAAGAGACTTGCTACAGCAATTACAAGCTACCATTCAATTTAATGAGTAAGCTTGCACTTCCCCTCAGCTGGAAATCTACCAGTCCTGTATGGGTGGAACAATGGCCCATAACAGGAGAAAAGCTACTTGCTTTAAAACAATTAGTGAATGAACAATTATCGGCAGACCATATTGAGCCTTCAGTTAGCCCCTATAATACACCCATCTTCGTCATAAAAAGAAGAGTGGCAAATGGAGATTTCTCCAGGATTTAAGGAAAATAAACCAAATCCTTGAACCCATGGGGCCTTTGCAATGTGGTCTGCCTAATCCAAATATGATTCCACATTCTTATCAATTGGCTATAATAGATTTGCAAGACTGTTTTTCTCCATCCCCCTACAGGAGAAAGATCGTAAATTCTTTGCTTTTACTGTTCCTGTGTTAAATAACAGTCAGCCCACGGAACGGTACCAATGGAAAGTCCTACCACAAGGAATGTTGAATTCCCCTACCATGTGCCAACATTATGTGAGCCAAGCCCTCCAGCCCTTTCGTTTGCAGCATCCACACCTCCTGATCTGTCATTATATGGATGACGTGCTTATTAGTGGGCCACGCCTCCCCCCTCATTGGAAACATGATATGACAGCCTGTTTGTCACGTTATGGTTTGAAAATTGCCCCAGAAAAGGTTCAGGAATCCTCTCCTTTTCATTATTTGGGACACAAAATGATAGCTAGCTATTCTATTCCTATTGTCCCTGAACTTCATGTTCCAAAAACAATGAAATATGTCCAGCTGCAGCAATTGCTGGGCAATATCAACTGGATAAGACCCTATTTTAAAATTCCCCTTGAAGTTTTACGGCCGCTTTTTTCAGCCTTAAAAGGCCATCAATCTCCTGGTGAAAAAATCACCTTGACTCCCACTCAGCAGGAGACTGTTGCCCAGCTAAAGGAAATCATGCGTCTCCACTGGGTTGATCGAGCGATTCTTAATGTTTTGCCTGATGTAGTCATAATGACAGATTCTGTTCAACCTTTTGCGGCCATTATTCAGTTAGGCCCATCAAAAGTTCATATAATTGAATGGCTGTATTTACATCATACGCCAAAGAACACGGTGACTCCTTTAGTGGATCTCCTTGCTCAGCTCATCAGCAAGGGACGCCGCCGCTGCAAAAGCCTCTTTGGCACTGACTGCGGCCAACTCATTGTACCCATGCCTTTAGAACAATGGGAAACTGCTCTCTCCACTAGCATGGATTTGCAGTGCGCCTTAGCCGATTTTGTTGGCCAAGTGGATTGCCATATCCCAGCCGACCCTCGCCTGCAAATGAGCAAACAATTTTCCCTGTCTTTCTCAACCATATTATCTCCTGTCCCTTTGGACGCCCCTACTGTCTTTACTGACGGATCCCCTCCAGGGGGTAGTTGCCTGGCAACAAGATGAGGAATGGCACAGCCTCTACACTCTTCCACAAAAATCTGCCCAGCGTTCTGAGTTAGCAGCTGCTGTTAAAGCTCTGCACCACTTCTCCAAGCAGCCTTTAAATTTGGTCGTGGACAGCCTATATGTTGCAAATGTCATAACTCGTCTACAAGGCAGTTATGTAAGTCCTTTGTTGGATGACAATTTATTGAGCCTTTTCCTATCCTTACAATTACTTCTTTCCACTCGCTCCCACCCTCTATTTGTGGTGCACATTCGCTCTCACCAACCTTTCCCTGGCTTCATCACTGAAGGCAATGCGAAAGCAGATTCACTGCTTAGAGCTTTGCCTGTTTCCCCTATTGAAAGTCATGCTTTCCATCATCAAAATGCGAAAGCCCTTAGCCGCCAGTTCCAAATCCCGTTGGAAGCGGCACGTGCAATTATTCAACAATGCCCTCAATGCTCTAATCAGATTGGCCACCCCAGCCCTGGTGTTAATCCCCGTGGGCTGGCATCCAACCAGTTGTGGCAAATGGATGTAACTCACTTCGCCCCTTTTCACCTTGGAAGTTCATACATGTTTGTGTTGATACGTTCTCTGGCTTTATTTGGGCCACCCCTCAAAGGGGAGAACAAGTTAAGCATGTTTGCAATCATCTTGTTCGTACCATGTCAGTCATGGGCAAGCCTCATTCCCTGAAAACTGACAATGCCCCAGCGTACTGTGCAAAAACCTTTGCTCAGTTCTGTGAAACTTGGAATATTCACCATTTATTTGGCATCCCCTACAATTCTCAAGGCCAAGCCATCGTCGAACGGGCTAATCGTACCTTAAAAACTGCTCTACAACGCCAGGAAAAGAAGGCCGGTGTCCCAGCCTCACTTTCCGAAAAGGAAGGCTGGCTGGCCAGTGTTCTCTTTACTCTCAACCATTTGAATGTTTCCATACAGGATCATCAATCTTATACTCGCCTGCAGAAGCATTTTCAGCAAACAGAGATACTCCCAGCCCCACTGGTCCGCTATAAGATATTACCCTCCAACGAGTGGAGTGAACCTGTAAAACTGATCACCTGGGGAAAGGGTTACGCTGCAGTGTCTACTCCACAGGGTGCTCGCTGGGTTCCCGCACGCTGCATCCGCCTATACCATGGCATGGCGACAGTCCCTTCCGAATCCGATACCGCAGTTCGACCACAAACTACGGATCGCCCAGGCTGCAACGCCCAGCCCCCCCAGGACTCGCAAGCGGGGAAATCGTAATGGACCTGTGACATGGGGCCAAATAAAATCACTCTCATGTCAGGCTGAACAGCTTAGAAAGGAAAAGCAGCTTGAAGCAACCCCTGAGAATTTGCTTCTGTGTGTTATTTCCTGCCTTAACATTAATTCCATGATAGTGCTCATTCTCATTGCTTTGTTTTTGCCTCTTTCTGCTTCCACTCCTACTAGTGACACCCACGCACCTACAAATGTGTGGGAATCTTTTGCAAAGACACTCAATATTTCTTCCTTTTGCCTTACCCAACAGGTATCTATAGGGGAAATTCTTGGCTCCTGCCTTATCCCTGTTTGCCATGACCCTTTTGATATACAAAATGATACCTGGTTTTTCTCATCCCTACCCACGAATGATTCTCTCCGCACCCTTGGTTATTCTGGTTATTATGTCTGGGGTAACCAAGTGCGCCGCCGTCCATCTCTGGCCATTGACTTATCGACCCCATACGTGGCTTCCTTTAATGTCACTTGCGCCCGTATGGTGAATTGCACAAAAGCCAACTGCGTGAAAATGGCCACTGATAATTTCCACTGCTCTGATTATGTAAATATTTCCTATCTGTATAAATACACAGAACTACCTGCGGGTTGGTTCTGGTCGTGTCCTGGCTATACATTTAATTACATTCCTGCAAACATCAGCCATGGAACACCCTGTTGTTTAAGTTGTTTGTCCATTGTATTACCCAAAAAGCATCATTTGACCCCTTCTCGACATCGCCGCTCTATTGAATTAACTAATGATTGTGATGATTCAATTTCTCTTCCCAGTAGATCTGAATATATCTCCTTAGCTGTCTCTCTCTTAGGAGTTCCTGGATTGGCTGTACGCAATAGTAGAAATATTAATTCTCTAGCTTGTTCTGCAGCAAAAGCGCTGAACTATACTTCTCAAGCCCTTCACCTTCTGAATAAAGAGCAAAGTGAACTCCAGCATGGGCTTTTACAGAACCGCGCCGCGATAGATTACTTGCTGATGCTTCATCATTATGGCTGTGAACAAGTGAATGACATGTGCTGTTTCAATATTACTGACAATTCTAGAGCCATTCAAAGCCAAATCTCTCATTTGCAAAATCTTACACATCACATTAAACAGGACGTTGGATTTTCTGGCCTCTGGGATTCTTTCACCCAGTGGCTTACTGCTTGGCTGCCTAACCTTACTTGGCTTCGTAGTCTCTTTCAATATGCTATTTTCATAATTTGTATTCTTATTTTACTATGCTGTTTCCTTCAATGCGTTCCTAGCCTCATGAGTCTTTTCTCTCGGCTTCTCTCTCCCCCTCAACCACCCAGTAAACTCCTTGCTGCTTACATTGCGAAATGGCAACACCAACAGTAAACCTTAGGGGAGATGTGGGCGGATTTATTTTGGGCATGCGCTGGCAAACCACGTATCCTGAAGTATTTTTGTCCCATCGACCCTGGCAAGCTTATTTCGGGCATTCGCTGGCACACCACTAATCCCGAAGTATTTTTGCCTTATCCACCTGGAACGCCTCGCAAACAAGAAAAGAAAGGGGGAGATGAAGGGAAGTTTTCTTTCTGCAGTTTCTCTTACTGCACATAACTGTGGCATTGTGGGAAGTCTTACTATGAAATCTTGCTATGCTTACTATGAGAACTCTTGCTTCTTTCCTCTTGGATTCTGGGAAGTCTCGCTTCTGCTCCTGCACATACTGTTCCAAACACACCAAGCTCAGACACACCCAGACATTCTCTCATTCTTCAGTTCATTTCAAGTTCATGTACAAAACAACATGGTCTGTTCTTAATGCATAGCTGACCACATCTACGGAACTTCATTATTATATTCTTTCATGTTATGATCAATCATTTGTAATTGTTTTAGTCATGTTATATTAATCTTTAGTTATAATTTAATTAGGAGGATTCATGCCTGTCTAGTTCCAGCCCCATTTCTCATCCTTTGATCTATCAGTAATAAATGGTTGTATCTAATTCCCGCCTTGTACCTATGTTAACCAATCAGCAACAAGATGCTTTGTGTTTGTATCAACCAATCAGCCACAAGCACACCTGTGGCAATGTTTGTAATATTCAATAAAAGAGAGTTCCCGGGGCTTGCCCCGGCAGACGCCTCTCCTATGACACCTACCACTCGTCTGTCGTGATTTCAACCCAACAAGCAAGAATTGGAAAAAGAAAAATTGAGGGCTGAGCAGGAAAGGGAACAGCAGCAGTTTCAGTTAGAGATGAGACGGTTGGAATTAACGGTTTTGGAAAATTGAAATAATAGTAATAACACCGATGGGCAGAATCAAATGAAGATAGATTTAAAATGCTTTCCTGAGTTTAGAGATAAGGATAGCCCAGAAGCATTTTTAGTATCCTTCGAGAGGGCCTGTCATGATTTTCAAGTGAGAGAGTTAGATAAAATGATGATCTTGAGAGCTAGAATAAGTGGTCCTCTAGCCGAAATATATGCACAAATGACTGAGGAACAATCCCAAAATTTTGAGGTGTACAAGCAGTTACTATACACCCACTTTGGGATTACCTCAGAGGAGTTGAGAAAAAAATTTACAAGTGTGACAAAGGTGAGGGAGGAAACCTATGCACAGCTTGGTGCAAAGATAAAAACTTACCTGGTTAGAGCAAGAGAATGCAGACACGGTACCTAAGATTAGGGAAGTGATAGCGTTGGAGCAATTTTACGACACAATAAATGGCCAATTGAAGTACCTGATAAACGAAAGGAACCCCAAGACAATAGAGGAAACAGCTGGTTTAGCTGATAAAATAAATGAAATCAGAGACCACGGATTTGATGGGCCAAAATTTGGTGGGAGATATTGGGAAACAAACAAGAATAAATTTCAGCAAACCAAAGGAAAGAGTACCTCAGAAACCGATAAGAGAAGTAGCCCCTCATCAAAAAGCCAACATGAGAAGGCATACACCCATACGGAGTTTACTGAAGGAAAGTCAATAAAACAAGTTATGCAGGACCCAAAGACATTTCATGCTGGAGATGTGGAAAATTAGTTCATAAAAGTTTTGATTGTAAAACAGGAAAAGAAATGTCTAGTTGTAGCACCACACAAAAACAGATGTATTGTATCCAGCCTGTGGAGCAGGGCCGGACTAGTGAGGTTGTCAAGGGAACCGACATGCCACCTAGGCCTGAGCCTGCTAAGGTAGTAAATACCAAAGTCCTGCACTGTTATGCGATTCAACAAGATAATCTCTTGTTAAAGAATTGTGGAGAGTATATCTGGGTAGATGGAAAAAGATATATTGGGTTAAAGGACACGGGATCACAAGTCACTATAGTCCACCCAGAGGTAATCAGGGCTGATGCCATAATTCCAGGAAATTTTTTTTTAAAAAGGCATTTCGAAACAAGCAGAGATCCTAAAGGTGGCATAAATAGATGTCAGGTTCAAAAACTGGGCAGGGAAGTGGCAGGTAGCCCTTTCGGAATAAATTCCCACCCCTGTGCTCATTGGCTGGGACATTTTAGAACATGTGCAGAGTACTTTCATAGTTACCAGAGCAAAAGGGAGCCTACAGTCACCTAATGCTGAGGGGGTGGATACAGTAGCAGAGGCAGACAATGCTGGACGACAGCAAGGGGATAATCGGTGTGAGGAAAGAAAAGACACCTTTTTGTTTCCTTTGACTAAAAGTCAAACCCCAGGTTTTGCCAAAAACCAAAAAGATGATACTGAGTTACAAATGTACTTTGAGGCAGCCGAGTAGGAGAGGCCGTTAACTCCTGAGTGCCCAGAATGTTTTTGTTTGAGCAAGGACCTTTTATATCAAGAAGTCCTTGCCCCACCATCCAGGCGGGGTTAAGAAGGGAGAAGACAGTTAGTAATCCCACATGAATAGCAGGGCAAAATCCTGCAGCATGCTCACAATAGTGTATTTGGAGCGCATATGGGTATTACACGTACAAAACGGAGAGTGGCTCAAAAATTTTATTGGCCAGGCATGGGGAAACAAATAAAACAATACTGTCAAGCCTGTGACACATGTCAGAGAAGAGGCACCGGTCAAGACAAAACAGCCAAATTGTGCCCCTTGCCTATCATATCAACCCCTTTTCAACGGTTAGGCCTGGACCTGATAGGGCCATTGCTTAGAGCCAGCAGGCGGGGAAACAGATACATCCTCACCATAGTGGATTACACAACCAAATATCCAGAAGCCATTCTGTTGCAAAATATTGAAATGGAAATGGTGACAGCCTCTTTAATTAACTATATGAGTAGGTTGGGCTTTGCCAGTGAAATAGTCACTGACTTGGGTTCTTCTTCCACATCAAGACTAATGAATAGACTATGGGAAGTGTGTGGTATTAAGCATTTAACATCAACACCTTACCACCCTGAAACTAATAGATTAGTTGAAAGATTTAATGGAACCCTAATGAGAATGATTAATGCCTATACCGCAGAAAATCCCAATGATTGGGACAACAAGATACAACCACTACTGTATGCATATAGGGACGTACGCCAAGAAAGTACTGGGTTTAGCCCATCTGAATTATTGCTGTGATGTAAAGTAAAAGGGCCCCTGGACTTACTTCGCATGAATTGGGAAGAACAGTGAGATCAAGATCCAGAGTCCATTGTGGAGCATTTGTTTAATTTGCAGAATACCTTAAAGAGATCCCTAGAGTTAGCGGGGGGGGGGGGTTTAAAAAGTGCCCAAACCAAGCAAAAAAACTGGTAAGACAAGAAGGCATGGGTAAGGTCATTTACACCTGAAAGTGAAGTAATGCTGCTGAGACCAATTAAAGGAAACAAACTACAATTAGCTGGGGAAGGACCATATAAAATAGTGGCCAAAATGAATGAAGTAAATTATGTGATCCAACAAGGAGAGTAAGGGTGGAAAGTGGTGCATGTAAATATGATCAAACCTTATTTTAGAATAGAAAACTGGGCATTGTATGCCCTACAAGAGGACCCATGTGAACCAGACATACCATGTTGGTCTGATGTACTGTTAATTAAGTTAATCTGGTATTTTATTCATTCGTTTTTGGCAGGAAGGGGAGTCGTTGTGTTTCAACCTGGTCACCCCCTTAAGGCAGGTGCCACAGAAAGAATGTAGTTGGTCAAGGGGGCCTTGGATTCAAAAAGGTTGAAAACTTCTCCCCTAGTGGTTACAATTTGTTCAAGTTTGCTCCTGCACCAATAGTGTTTTCCCTCTGCAAGGATTTTTAATAGTGCACCAGGGAATTATATGCAATTCAAACAAATTGGAAGTTCAAGATGTATTAAAAAGTCCACTTCAATGGGACTGAATTATACCTTAAGTGACAGATTGCTCAGAATTGCTCCTAGATACTTGGTCTGTCCTTCAGATCCCTTGGTGTATTCCTAGACTCTCTCTATGTTGAAGGATCTGTGGGAACGCAGCACAGCTTAAGTTATCTAAGGGATTTCTTTTTCCTCCATAGGTATTTAAGACTTGATAGGGCTATATTTTCAAAGCTGAGGTGAAATCTGAAAGGAGCCGTGGCTTTTAATAAGATAAATATTGCTTATTCCACTACATTAATTTCAGTTACAAACAGCTGTGCAGGACAACATCCTTACCTGAATTTTTAACTGGGTGAGTAGAAAGAATAAGACAGCTAATTGGTAGTTGAAAATAGTAACAGTGGAAAAATAGTATATATTATAAGTAAATTGATACAAAGAGAGCAGTAAATAGTTTGTAAGTGGCTCTATTTTCCAGTGTGTTTCAGAATATAAACTTTGAGAGAATTCAACTTTTTGTATTCTCCTGAAGCAGTTCCAGCTTCCTGATAAGGCAATGGGCCATTAAAGGGAACAAAGAATGTGGATCTGTACGAGACAGCAAATGGGGCCCCTTCTCCATTTAGAAAGACAAAGTATTTGATTAGAAGTGGTGTGAGCTAGAAGTGATATAAATGTTAATGACAAGACCCCTCCATTGTAGTCTCAAATTGTGTGTGTGTGTGTGTGTGTGTGTGTGTGTGTGAGAGAGAGAGAGAGAGAGAGAGACTACTGCATTAAAAATAAATTAGTGAAATTGAACATATCATTTTGTGATGGATAAGTAAAGAGTACGTTATGAAAGTCAGTTTGTATATACTGTATAAGTGTTCAACTTCATCATATTATGGCAGGAACACATTTTCCCCTCCCTCCAATACTACTTTATAGTAATTTAAACAATGGGAAATTTTTTATTCTAGAATATAATTCACATGCTTTCTTTACTTTTCAAGACCTTTTAAGATTTTGTTTTTAAGTTCCTGTGGCATGGTTGGTGGTTTTATTGTGCACATTCTGGTTCTGTGCTGCGTGTAGTGTTTTGTAGTGTGTTTGTTTGTGTGTCTGGAGGGGCAGTGATCTCACTTTCATGATACTTTGTGTTTTAAAGTGTATAGGTTTTATTTATTATTCTATACAATAACGTTTTATAGTTTTACTTTGTGGACAACATCATATATGTGATGATGTACCTCATAAAGAGAATGAAAAATGATATTTTTTCCTTCTTTTTAGAGGCATATGCATAATGTTGAAATCATTATTGACAGAGGCTTTAAAAAAATCAAATTCTAATTTAACTTAATTTAATCTATCAATTGGAAGGAGAAGGCATGTAGCCTGATTTACTCTATGCAGCTCAGGTGGCTTCAGTGGTTTGGCATGCCTATTGGCATGTGCAGCTGGTTTGCTGGCTGCCACCATTCCTAGATTGGAATAATCTAGGATCAATAATCCCTGCCGTAGTAACCTCCCAAGTAGAGTATTGTGACTCACTCCATATGGGACTGCCCTTGTAGATAGTCCAGAAGATGCAACTGGTAGAGCAAGCAGCCACTAGTGTCCTAAGCAACATGAGACCCAAACACCTCAAAAGTACCTTCCCCCTGTATCAGCCTTCCAGTGACTAAGGTCCAATGGGAAGGCTATCCTTGTTGTCCCACCAATCGTTTAGGTTCACAATATACAGTAGTAACATGGAACAAAACCTTATCTATAGTGATAGCCCACTTAGGGAACACACACACTACTGGGCTGTTTGATGATACCGACAGAAAAAGGTAGATAAAGTGAGGTTTAAACAGAAGTCAAAAGCAAGTAATAAATAAATCAGTGAGGGTACTGGGTGAGCCTCCATTTGGAAAGTATTTTGTTAGCAGATAGCAACAATGAAGAAGGATCTTTTCACTTTACAAGGTAGTGAGAGTCAGTGATATTTTTCTAGAAAAAGAGGTGCTGGAATTCACTATGAATGTCTCCCTTCATCTTTTAGAATGGCTATGGTGATCTTAATACTATTATGTATATAGTACATTAATTGATTTACCCTGTATCATGAAGACTATGCAGTATACAATCATTAGTTTAGAGAAATGGGCAAATCTGTCTCTATATACATATCTCCCAAGGGAAGAACAGAAAGAGGCCCTACAGCGTTCTATTTGCAAATAGAGTTGATATTGCCTCTATCAAATACACAAGTTATTATAAAGAAAAAGACTACTTTGGGAATTTATATGTTTGCTTGTTTATATTCCTCATTATGAAGCAGTTGCCTTTGGTGATATATTTCTGTATGACTTTGCATCTTGCTATTATATCACTACCCTTTCGATTCGTTTGCTGAGGAACTCAGTTCGGGTAAGTTCCAGCTTTAAAAAAGCCCCAGTCAGAGTATTTGGGGGGGGGGGGAGTCCTGACAGATAACAGGTTGATGGGAAAGGTGCACGGGCAGGTTCATGTTGGATATATACACACACACAGCATCACATAATATAATATTGTATCATTTCCTGGTGGATAATGAATCTGTTAATTTGGCTATTTGTTTGAGCAGTTAAAAGAAGATTGATGGGAAATACAAATGAAAGATCGCAAAATGGAACAAAAGTGATGGAATTCATCCTTCTTGGCTTCCCGGGATCTCAGTATTTACAGATGTCCATCTTCATGCTCTTTCTTATCATGTATGTGATGTCACTGCTGGGAAATGTGGCCATCATCATTCTGGTAATAGCAAATCGTCGTCTCCATACTCCCATGTACTTCTTCCTATGTAATCTCTCCTTCCTAGAAATATGGTACACTACAGCTTCTATCCCTAAGACTCTTGCCATCTTTCTGGGGAGGAGCAGAAGCATCTCTTTCACTGGCTGCATCCTTCAGATGTACTTTGTGTTTGCCTTTGGATGCACAGAATACTTCCTGCTGTCTGTCATGGCGTATGACCGATATTTGGCCATATGTGATCCCCTGCACTATAGCACCATCATGGACAACGAGCTCTCCAGGAAGCTGGCAGCTGGCTCCTGGCTATGTGGTTTCCTCATTATTTTTATACCGGCCTTTCTAATCACAAGATTGTCTTTCTGTGGCCCCAGTGTGATCAATCACTTTTACTGCAACATTGATTCCTGGATAGTTCTTTCCTGTACCAATACCCATGACATTGAGATGGCAGCTTTTGTAATATCCATCATTGTCATATTGGGCTCCTGTCTGATCACCTTTCTTTCCTACATATGCATTATCACCACTATCCTACGCATCCCTTCTGTGCAAGGTCAACAAAAAGCCTTCTCCACATGCTCGTCCCATCTTGCTGTAGTGCTCATTTGGTATGGCTCCACCATCTTTCTTTTTGTCAAACCTTCTAAGCGGACATCCCTAGAAATGACCAAAATTGTCAACATCTTGAACACAATTGTTACTCCATTGCTGAATCCATTCATCTACACACTACGAAATAAAGAAGTGAAGGATGCAATCAGAAGTTCATTGCATTAGGCTTATGGTCCCAACTGCCTTAACGGAGGCATCCCCCACAACAGCTTGTGATCGTCGGTGAACGAAAAACAAGGATGACAGAGGGTAAATCATCCTTGCAAACTCCCCAGAGGGACAGGGGAAATGGGCTTCACTCACAGCTCATCTTGGTACCTGGCTTTTGCTTGGAATATGGGAGGCAGGGAGTCACCGAGTGCAAAAGCACTTCACCTGGCGAAACCCCTCCTATGACTCCATTAAGAAGCAGAGGTTCTCCATTTAATTGGATCTTTAATTGGCTTTAAAGTACAGGCGCGTGATGCAAAAGGGTTGCAAAAACATACGGTCAAATATACCAGCTACATGGATCAAAGGTTTGAATTGAGATAAGATTTTCTTCGGCATAAGAGTCAAATGGGGAGAAGGAAGCCACAGTTTGTTTATTCTAAGTTTCTTTTATATATTCATGATTCGGCAATCTGGAATATAAGATAAAAATATATTTACAAGTGAGGAAGGGACATTGGAGTAATGTTGATATTAACAAGCAAAAATAGAAATTGTGTGTGATTTGAAATGAAGAAAGGAAGGGAGGGGTAGCTCAAGTATGACTATTGGAAAGACAGAGTAATCCTCCTCACCTCTGCTTAAAAGCAACAGACAAGGAAAAAGAGACTGAGATTTATGTGTGCTACTGATGGAATGTAATCTAAGATAAAGTTTAATTGGGCCATAAATCTCTTGCTGGAAGGAAAAGAATTTGGAGGCTGCAGAGATTCTGGGAGTTGGAAAGGAGTATTAAATCTTCAGCTTCTTCAAAAATTGCTCACCTTTTCCTAGGCTGAGGGAAAAATGGTGACATGTTTTACTAGTGAGACAGAATGTGTTTTAGCAGACTCAGGGCTGTCTTTACTCAGGGTTGCAAGGGGTGTGGGGCACCTGGGCACCAAATTCTGGGGTTTACCTACTGTATATGGTCCCCCTCAATTGGTGACAGTGAAAAGCAATGGAGCGATAGTCCCCCCCCCCCTCGTCGCTCTGTTACTCCATAGCACCAAATACTCCCAAAGAGTCAGGAAACAAAAGCAATTATTTCCGCTGCGTCGTTACAGGTGAGCTATTCCCCCCCCCAACTTTGAGTTCACCTCTCCCCAAAAAGGTCAACAACTTTGGCTCCCCCCTCCCCGAAAAAGCTGAATAAATGTTAATTTGGGGGTGGCTAAACTAAATTTGGGGCCGCTGGGCAGATTTTTGCACCCCGGCGGCGCATATGCTAAAGACGGCCCTGAGCAGACTGTTCCCTGTTCTGAGACATCGAAGCAAGGGATGGAGAGATAAGACCTCTGAGAAACTTCAAGATTCAGTTCTGCCCCAAGCCATGATGGGAGAAAACAACAGCTGGGAAGTGAAAGAGACAACATACTATATGGACAGAAGGAATCTCCATGGATATAACAGTTTTCACATGCAGAGCAGAATAAAGATAATAGTTTGAGTTCCTCACATGAAGCTTTATAAATTTATATATTGTAACATCACAAATGTAAATCATTAATTATGTAGCTGTTGACTAAGGGATTATTATTGTAACTGAAATGTAGCTGACATTAATTAAGATTGTGAAACACAGTGATATAAGATCGGAAACGCACCCAAACTATCACGTGGGGAGCCACTTTAACTGGAGATTGATTGGGACTTTGATAAGTGTATAATTGGGGAATTAATTGTTATTGTTATAATTTGGCTATTATTGAGAGTGTATTGGAAAACTAATAAAAATATTTTTTTTTAAGAAAGAAGTTTATTGCATTGAGGTTCAAGAGAAACATTTATTATATGATAATAAAGGGTATAGAAATGATGCCACAAATAAACTCATGGTGAAGAACCTCTGGACAGAGGGGCATCTGAGGCCTTCAGTAGCTTGGATCTGGTTGTATGGAAAGGATATTCCCCCTCCTAGACCTAGTTTCTGCAATGGTCATAGGGTTAGTTGCCATACGTCCAGGAAATCCCAGACATGTCCTTTTGGGCGCCTACATGCTCATCTGGGCGATTTTTTTTACAATTTTAAGCCAATCACCGGGTTGGGGGAGGGTAAAAAAAAAGTGTGTGCACGACTGGCTCTGGCTCTGTTTCAAACTCTGTTTTGGGTGCCTCAAGCTCTGTTTTGGGCTCTGGCACGTGTGGCTCTGGGTCTGTTTTGGATTCTGGCATGGGCGGGTGAGCTAGAATAGGCTCAAGTACAGTACAGGTGTTGATGACTTATTGATTAAGCACTGGAGCAGCCCTTGAGTACTTTAGAGACAGAAACATACGGGAATGGGAAGCTGAGTGTGTTGAGTTGTATGTGATGGAGTGGACCACCTAACGCAGCATTAGTTACTATGGCTAGGATTTGAAACTGAGGCTCCATGACTTCATTTTGACTAGAGGTACTGGAGGGCAAAACAAGGATTTTCCCCATACAAAAACATGCTTTGTACTCTACTTTTTCTTAATTTGTGAGTTGAGTAACAATGCAAGAAGCATTATCAGAATGTTGACTGTGTGAAGGAGAGAAGACCATTGTGTGGAGAGGGATCATATACTATTTCTGGTGGTTGATTGTTTTGTTGGTTTCCCTTGTCTTGGGTAATTCCAAACTCTACTCTCCCATGCTGAGCTGTAGAACAGCAGATTTGTCATCATCTCCCAGGGCACAAGATGCTCCTTGCTTTCGGAAGTTGATGAAGCAGTAACTAAGCTTCCAAATTTTACGGTTCTTTGATATTAGAATAGTGGAATTCAACAAAGCTTACTCACAAGTAAGTATTGTGCATAGATTGTAGTCATGACACATGGCTGATCAGGGATATAGATCCAGGTCTCCTCAGACAATTTCCAAGATGCTAACTACACCACACTACATTTTGGAGTCCCAATTGGCTACAGGGTTTGTTATGATGAGCTCCTAACTTCAAAATTCACCACTACACCACTGGTCCCTTATTATCTAACCAAAGGGAATTAAAAAGTAACAGTTCTGAATATGTGACAAACACATTTTCTCCAGCATTTCCACTGGGAATACCTAGCACTTAATGAATAACTACTTTCCTGTTTGATTATTAAGAGGACTATAATGAAAGCTGCTGCTTCTCAAAAATCCTTGTGGATGTTCAGTGATAACTGTCAAAGGATACTATAAATCAAATCAGAATAGATAGAGTCTGGGATCCAGAAGTCTTGAGTTTGGATATGCCCAAATTGAAGCCTCTGAGGAAACTAAATTACCATTCAAAGTAGACAATTTTCATCTTGGAGATGCTGCTCATAGGATTACCAGAAAAATAGTGGTCTCTGTGTAGAATGAAGATTGTATTGTATTAAGGATGGTTATTTTAGTAATCTTTCTGCTAGAACTATTTCCTTTCATGGTATGTCAGGCTCACATAGCAAAATGCAGGCTCCAAGGTCCTCATCGTCCACTTCACATCTATCATCAGCCAGGAGATTTCATCATCGGTGGCATTGTTTCCCATGGTGGCTTCTTATCCACTTCAGCAACATTCATGGAGGAACCTCCACCAGTACTGCCTGAAGAACTTGTGTAAGAACTCAGCCTCTCATGATCAATCCCAGAGCAGCAGCTTCAGAACAATGGCTGATGCTGCAAATGTCAACTCAGTAATCTTTGATTTAAATATAACATACTGATCTGAAAACTCACATGAATCAACTGTGAATAAAGGGAATAACACAAACTCCAATTTATGGGATATATACTAAGAAATATTGAATACAGTGAAAATATACTGATCCCACAATGGAAAGTAAGCTCCATTGTGCTCTTTTAGGTTTAGTTGTGGGTTGGGATGTATAGATTAACAGTCTAGTAACTTAGCAGTAAACCCAGCTGAACTCAATATGATTAACTTCTGAATAGATATTTAAATGTCCCAAGTGTTGAAGGTGCTTCTGAAACAATCTGCAACTCTCATTCTAGGGTGGTGCCGAAGGCTTACCAACACATCCTGGCATTGACATTTGCAGTCAAGGAGATCAATGGATGCTCCCACATTTTACCCAATATCACCTTGGGCTTCCATATCTATGACAGCTATATTAATGCAAGGAAGACGTATCTTGCCACACTGATACTTTTATCCAAACTGGAGAAATGTGTCCCCAACTATGTATGTGATACTGAAAATAATCTAACAGGGGTTATTGGGGGACTCGACTCTGACATCTCCTTTTATGTGGCAACCATTTTGGATATCTATAAGATTCCACAGGTATGGCACTTACGGGCAATACCTCTTTGCAATCTAAGTATCCACCTCTTCATTTCTACTATGCACTTTAATGACAACATTGCTTTGCAGTAAATTTGCACGGGAGGGGAGAATAATTCATTCTCTATTTCAACCCCCTCCCCTTTCCAGGAGACTGATATCCCAAGGTCCACTGGTGGGATAATGGACCAGCTATGTTTGGGTATGCAGCATTTTCTACTTAGTGAAGAAGGAATGTGCATTCAGTGGGAGGGGGGAAGCTTTCAGGTAACTGGCACTAAAATCCTTCTCCCTCCTCACCACCCCACCCCCCAAAAGTAATGGGGTTGGGGAAGATTAAACACATAATGAAGTTATGTTAAGTAGCAGAAACAATCAAGCTTTGCTGGAAAGGAGTAATAGTAGTGAACAGCTGGTTCACAATTGAAATGTGGTTTCATAAAAGAAGTGCGAGGAATCGTGTAAAAGGAGGCGGAAATCTCAGTTTTGCTCTGGGCTGGGGTCTGTGCATCATGAATAAGGGGGAAAAAAGCTCTAGAAAAATAAATTCGGAACTTACAGTTCTGACAAAGCTAAATAATATCTAATGTACAGGTAGCTAATCCTCTTATTGGGGCGAGATATGCCCCTCCCATCAATTTTATTCAACCTACAAGACCTACCAAAGTCAGCAATGACACACACAAAATATAAATAAATAAATAAATGACACAGTGCCTGCCCCCACTCATCAGATCAAATGTTTAACAAGCAGGAATGGGAAATTATCCCAGTTTTCAGCTCATATGAATGTGTCTATTTTGAATAAATGAAAGACAGCATGCGGCCAACAGAATTCATCATATAATGTACATAAATAGTTTGAAATAACTCTGGAAATTATATTTTGTCTCGTCCCTTCCTCCATTCCCTCTTTAGCTCATTTATGGCTCAGCTCCAGTGATGAATGATAAAACCCCAGGGCTTTCCTTCTACCAGTTGACAGCCCAGGAAGACCTTCAATATGAGGGAATAATCTCTTTGCTTCTGCATTTCAAGTGGACATGGATTGGGGTCACTGCAATGGACAATGGCAATGGGGAAAGATTTGTGCATACAGTACTTCAGTTGTTTTCTCAAAATGGCATCTGTTTTGCCTTCATAGAAAGAATTCCCAATTTTAGTTTCATCTCTGAAATTAAAGATATGCTACAACAGGGGGCAAAAATACATGATAAAATAATGAGCAGCAAGGCTAATGTAGTGGTGGCCAATGGAGACTTTTATTCTATGGCACTTTTTAAATGGCTTCCATACCTATCAGAACACGATATGACAAATAATGTAAAAAGTAAAGTTTGGATAACAACAGCTGAGATTGAATTCACTTCATTTGTCTATCAAAGAAACTGGGATTCGGGACTATTCAATGGTGCTATAGCCTTTGAAATTCACTTCAGTGACCCACCAGGATTTCATCAGTATGTTGAGCACAGAAACCCTTCCAACACAGATGGGGATGGTTTTATCAGGGACTTCTGGCAACAGGCTTTTGATTGTGTATTCCCAGATATCACTGCAGACCAGGTGGATGGGAACATTTGCACAGGAGAAGAGAAGCTAGAGAACCTTCCAGGATCATTTTTTGAAATGAGTATGACAGGGCACAGTTACAGTATCCACAGTGCTGTCTATGCCATCGCCCATGCGTTACATGCTATGTCCACATCCAGACCCAGACACATAGGAATGGCATATGGAGGGAGAGTAAAGAATCAGAATCAACTGTTTTGGCAGGTAACGGGTTGAACATCCTCAACATGGAAGAGCACTTTTATTCCTTCACAATGTATGGGTTTCCAAAATACTGTCAACTTGCTCTTTCCTCTCAGGGTTCAGGCATATGGAATTTGATGAGGAACTGAATCTATAATTTTGTGGACCGATGATGGCTGTGTCTTTGTTTCTCTGAGGAAAGAGCAATGATGGCTGTCTCCTTGTTTGAACAGAAACCCCCCAGTACATGATAAAGCATTTGCTTGGAGATGTTTTGTGGCCCATTGAGACACCATTTCACTAACAGTCAGGAAGCAGTGAAAACAGTCAACGGAGATGAGCAGCATTCTTGCTATTCCAATTGTTACAGCAAACCTGCAAATAGCTGTGTAGCTGTGTAGCTGCTATATATGTATAGGCATCCAGAGGAGTAGAAGCAAATGTGATATTCTTGACAATAAATAATTATCTGTCATGTGCATTCCTTTGGCTGTGAAACACCCTTGACAGCCTGCAAATTTTTCGTCAGAGCAGGGGGTCACACACCACTGTTCTGCCTGAGGGATGTAACAGGGAGAGAGAGGCCTGACAGAAAGAATGAGAGAAAAACATTTATGTGGGAGAAAATGGGTTGGCTCTCTACATGCTTGTCCCTGACTCCACTCACTGTAGGTTCTGGCCTCAGAGGAAAAAGGATTGCTCAGCCCTGTATCAGAGTGCAGCCTTTTCTAAACACTTGTCTTTTCTGTTTACAATTTAGCTCCACCACATTCTGAGAAGTATCTCATTTAATAACACTGCAGGAGATGTGGTATCCTTCAACAAGAATGGGGAGGTAGCATCTAGCTTGGATATTATCAATTGGATTATATTCTCCAATCAATCCCTTCATAGAGTCAGAGTCGGAAGGATAGATCCTGGAGCGCCTTCAGATCAAGCATTCACCATTGATAAAGAAGTAATAACTTGGCACAGCTGGTTTAACCAGGTAGAATCCAAGTCACAGTCATTTAGCAAAAAGTCTAATAATAAAGGAGCCCTGTTGTTCTATCCTGATCTTTAAAACTGATTTCATTTGATGATGAACACTTGTGAAATACTTGTTTTATTTTGAAAGGAGGATATAGTGTGGACCAAAAAAGGATAAAAAATGAAGATAGGATAAAATGTGACTGAAAGGCGGGGGGGTGGAGAACATGGGTGAATGGGTGAAGGAGTGTCCTGAACCACTCACATAACTGGAAGTACATTGCACTGGTGCAAACAGTCCCCAGAGCAATGCTAGATAGTCCAAAAGGTCAAATACTGGTCCCAGTCCAATACAACAAGCAAAGTCCAGACTCAAACAGTAAGGCCAGGTTCCCACGTCTGCAAGTGATCCAGGGTCAGAAAGCCTAGAGTCATCTGAGTGCCCACAAAATTCCTCCCAGATCTAACAAGCCTCATGGTACCACCTGGTCAATTAGTGAGCTGGGCTGTGTTCCCTTGCCTGCCTCACTCTTCTAGAGTATGTTTCCCACTACTCCTGATGCCTCACAGCCCTCTGTGCCCATAGAGATGGAGGCACCTCTGGTTCTAATGATGTGTCAGCTGCCCCTTGAACATCCCCTACTACTCTCCTATGAGTACCTCCAAAGTCCCCAACCACTCCTGCCCTATCTTCAATTTGTACCAGTTGTGACTAACATTCCTTTCTGGTATCCTTTTCCCCTTCCTCAGTGTCCTGATTTTTCATGAGAAGAAGGCAACAGGGGATGAAATGAGGCCAGAGGGAGAAACTGAGAGTTGACAGCAGGAAGTATAGAAGAGACAACTAAAGTTGATAGGGGAGCTGTAGAAGAGAAAAGGGGAGGAGTGGTAGTGAAGTTGGAGATAGTGGAAGAAGGGAAGGACAGGGATGAGGTGACAAACCTGGTGTAGGAGTCATGGCACACACTGGTATTTACTGCCATTCTCCTTATTAATTTACATATTACTTTTGTATACTCTCTGTACAACTAAGCTATCTTCCCACTGTTATTGATGCATATTTTTATGAATAGCTCAGTTCAGTTCCTTTTAAAAAACAAAACTGGTTCAATGAACATGTTTACTTAATATGCATATTTTCTCTCAGAACACATATTTAATTACATATTTTGATCAAAGAAACGCAATGTGTTGGATAGTTAACTTCACATTCTGATGGTATGGATCAAGACGTTTTTGTCATGTGACAAAGACACATGAGAGCAGAAGCAGCAAAGCAGGCTGGGAAGTGCTGGGACTGCACAATCATTAGGGCCTACTAAAGTTATTCAGGCCTAACTGCTAGCTGTTGAGTCACCCTGATATGTGACTTAGCAGCCAGTTTTTCTTTGTGATCTCTGTAACTTTTCAGAGTCAGTCTGCCTCAGTTGTGAGCAGAGTCAGTATGTAATCTTAGTCAAACTGTTTGGAACCATGTTGTTGTTGGGATACTGCCAGGGAGACAAAGTCCATCATGGCCCCCAAGCCGTCTGCCGGACGATCCATCGATCTCCCATAGGCACGCAGTATCAGCAATTAGCGACATGAGTTTCTAGAATATATCTTGCCACATTCCAGAGCTCATGCACACTCTATCAGCAGATAATGCACAGCCAAAGTCGCTCTCAGGAGAGCATTATTTACAAGTTTTATTCAGCGTTGATCAGAACAAAGAAAGACATGACTGCCTGTGTCAGTGTCTATGACACAGAGAGAGAAACAAAAGCAATAGGAAACATAAACATCCTGTGAACAGGATATACGCAGACTCTGTGACTCACAGCCTGCTCCCTTTTAAGGTGGAACGGAAATATCCTAACAGTTGTTTATGAAGAAGTTTATTTTAACTCGGTAAAGCTTTTATTCTTTAAAACTCTGCATTATTAATTTACGCTGCGTGTCAGGTTGTGGGGCCCAGTCTTTTATGGATGGTGAATTGCTAAAGCTGGAAAATTAGGGTGCTGTTGGTGAGGACCTTGAAGGGACTGAAGGTCCAGTGGTAAGGCTGAAGAAGCAGACCCGGTGCAGCAAGGAGCAGAAGCCGTGTCAGCTCAGCAACCTGCAGAATTATTTATCTTGGCAACACTGCCTAGATGGAACGTCTGAATGGTAAGAACTACCTGACTTGGGCTCTCAAGCATGAACTGGTTCTAAAATGTGATAGACTTTGGCACTGTGTGGAAACTGGTTTGAATCCACAACCCTCTGAGCAGGAATGTGAAGAGGATGATAGAGCCAGAGCACACATTTTGTTGGCTCTAGAGGAACCACATGTCCTGCACATTGCAGATTTGGACTCTGCCAAACAATACTGGGATCATCTACATCAGATACACCTGTCTGACAGTGCTGGTTCAAAAATTGGACTAACTAGGAGACTGTATAGAACTGTGCTACTTGAAGGTGGATGTTTAACTACACATCTCCAGACATTGTGTATGTTATTCCTCCAGTTGCAAAGGAGAGGAAAAAGATTTCCAGACCTGGATCAAGTCTATATCCTGCTATACAGTCTCCCACCAAGCTTTAATATTGTGATAGCCTCTCTTGAAAGCATGAGGCAAGAAGATTTATCGATGGTGTACGCAACAACCCGTCTACAGGAGGAATCTGAAAAACGCGTGGAAAAGCTGAGAAGGCAGACCAGAAGAGTTTGAGTCGCCCTGCTAAGCAGAAACCCAGATTCTCAGGAGGAGATGGGACCGAAGAACGCTCCATGGATTGTGCCATGTTGGCAAAGAAATGCTATCAGTGTGGCAAGCTCGGGCACATGAAGAAAGATTGTCGTGTGAAAAACCAAGGAAAAGCGAGACAGGAAAACGGACACATTTCGTCTTGGCCGCCGCAAGAAAAGAAAAGAAAATTTCTCCAGACAGCTACATTTTGGACTCTGGCTCTGCCAGAATCATAATGAACAGCCTTGACTGCTTTACAACACTCAGCAAATTGCCAAAAGGCAAGGACAGCATTTGTTTTGCTGAGGGGCGGCATTGCCCAATATCAGGTATAGGTACGTGTTATTTGCCATGCCTAGATGCAGAATTGAGGGATGTATTGTTTGTTGAAGAACTAGAATTTTCTTTATTGTCAATTTCATGCCTTACCAATGTTGGTTTCGAATTTATGTTTGAAGGTGATGAATGTTTTATTAAGAAGCAGGGCAAGGTAATTGCTTCTACTAAAATGGTGGACAGCTTGTACCCTTTACAGCATTCTCCGCCAAGTGATGGGGTCACAGAGAGACCTAAAGCTGGAAAAAATGATGTGTTAATAACTGAACAGGATAGGTGGGAATAGGTTCATGCCAATCCTAGTATTTTAATTCCTCTCTCAGTACAACCACAGGAGCCCCTCAGGCAGCCAGCTGCTGAGAAAGACTAGAAAGTGGGGAAAATTTGCCCTGACACTGACACTTTGCAAAGTGCCACAAGCGGTGAATCAGAGGAAAAACAAAATGATGAACTGGAGGAGCAACAAGAGAAGGAAAGCCCAGCGGTTATTCCTAGGAGGTCCACACGGACTACCAAGGGTATTCCCCCTGATAAATTGACTTTTGGTGCAACAAAAGTGTGTCATGTTAATTGTACAGAGCTATGGGTTTTTGCTCAAGTTCTGAAACTACCTTCCAAGGAACAAACCCAGTGGTTTGACGCCATGAAAGAAGAGTTGGTATCATTCAGCTGACAAGAAATTGGAAGTAAGTCATTATGATATTACTTCTGCATATCTAAATGCTCCTCTGGACCAGGTGATATACATGCGACAACCCCCAGGGTTTGAGGAGGGGAATTATTTGGTGTGGAAATTAGACAAAGCTGCCTATGGTCTTAGGCAAAGTGCTAAATGCTGGAACGATTGTATAAACACACAACTCTTAAATCTTGGATTTAAAAGGAGCATTGCTGACCCTTGCTTGTATACAAGAGGATCAGGTGACAATTACATATTGGTTTTGATCTTTGTAGATGACTTGATGGTGGCAGGTAGTTCCACAGGAAAAATTCAAAAGATAGCAAATCAGTTGGAAAAATATTTCAAACTGAAAGACCTAGAACCAATAAGTCACTATTTAGGGGTCCAAATATGCAGAGAAACAGATGGAAGTTTCTTAATATGCCAAGAGCAAAAGATTAAAGGTCTGCTTGAACAGCTAGAAATGCAGGATTGCAATGCTGTGCAAACCCCTATGACTGTAGATTTTCAGAAGACTGAAAGTGATGTTTTGTTTGATCAACCAGATTTATACCAATTGGTAATAGGATCTCTTCTGTACCTGAGCCAATGGTCAAGGCCTGATATTTCATTTTGTGTAGGTATTCTAAGCAGAAAAGCAAGTAAGCCTAGTGTACTTGATTGGGCTGCTGTGAAGCAAATACTGAGATACCTGAAGGGTACACAGAATAAGTGTATAAAGTTATCTGCATCTAATTCAAGTTATTTGCAGGTGTTTGTGGACAGTGACTTTGCAAATTGTCCATCCACGAGAAAATCAACCAGCGGTCTAGTGGTCATGTTTAGAAATTCACAAATTGGTTGGAAATCCAAAAAGCAAGATTTTGTTGCCACATCTATGTGTGAGGCAGAATTTTCTGCATTATCTGAAGCGTGTAACGAAGTCACATGGTACATCCAGGTATTAAATGATTTGGGATATGAAGTGCAACAGCCTGTCACAATCTATGAGGATAATCAAGCTTGTATCACAATTGCTAATTCAGGGAACACTTCAGCACATGCAAAACACGTGGCCATCAAATTTTTCAGTGTTAAAGACTATATACAACGTAATGTGATTAAGTTGGTTTATTGTCAATCACAGGAAAATTTGTCTGATTTATTTACAAAAGCGTTCCCTAGGGTGCAACATGTTGAACTGATTGCAAAGCTAAATCTTGTGGACAAAATATATGAATAAGTTAATTTTTCATGTTTATACTTATGCTCTCTAGGTCTTTGGGGGACTGTCATGTGACATAGACACATGAGAGCAGAAGCAGCAAAGCAGGCTGGGAAGTGCTGAGACTGCACAATCATTTGGACCTACTAAAGTTATTCAGGCTTAACTGCTAGCTGTTGAGTCACCCTGACACGTGACTTAGCAGCCAGTTTCTCTTTGTGCTCTCTGTAAGCTTTCAGTCAGTCATTCTGCCTTATTTGTGAGCAGAGTCAGTATGTAATCTCAGTCAAACTGTTTGGAACCATGTTGTTTATGAAGAAGTTTATTTACTCAGTAAAGCTTTTATTCTTTAAAACTCTGCATTATTAATTTACGCTGCACGTCAGTTTTGTATTAGAATATTGAGAGACTGAATTCATCAAATGTCCCCAAATGATTTCCTCCACCTCAGATAGTAGCTGTTGAGACTAGGGTTGGTAATTGCTTCTACAGTGTCTGGTGCCCTCCATGGAGCCAATTCATACCCTACTGAAATGCTGTGTCATTTTAGTAACACAAAGCTGGGTCTAGCACCTGAGGGATTCCAAACACCTTATTTTCTGTTCATCATTCTGCTCTTTAATTTATGAATTAGGCCTGTCCTCTTTCGGCCTGCACTAAAAGTTGCCAACCAGGATCTAGCAAGAAAGTGAAAGAAGGGAAGCCATTTTGCTGTTATGACTGCATCCTATGTCCAGAGGGCAAGATTTCAAACCAGGGAGGTAAGAGACATAAATGATTGCACAGTCAATTGAACTTAGTTTCCTCACACATGATGGGGATCTAAATCTAGCAATGGCTAACAAGCCACCATATTTTTTGCTCTATAAGATGCACCAGACCATAAGACGCACCTAGTGTTTGGAGGAAATCGAGAGAAAAAATATTCTGAATCCCAGAAGCCAGAACAGCAAGAGGGATCTGGCTTCTGGGACAGCCTCTTGCTGTTCTGGCTTCTGGGATAGCCACGCATAGCCTCTCCCGGGCAGCGGAATGAAGGCTTCCCCTACTCGGAAGAGGCTGTGCGCGGCTAACCTGCCCTCTGTCCCTTCCCCCACCTCTTCCAAAAGCCAGCCAAGAGCGGCGAACTGTTTAAAGGGAGCACTGCTCTTGTGGGCTTTTGCAGGAGGTGGGGGAAGGGACAGAGCCACGCTCTGTCCCTTCCCCCCATCTCCCGCAAAAGCCGAGTGCTCTTTAAAAGGAAAACAGGAAGACACAATGAGAGATAAAGGAGGTGCTGTGGGATTGGTGGAAGTCAATGTCTTCTTGTTGTTTTAGTGTTTATAATATTAACTTGTAAGATATGGATTTGTTTGTTTGTTTTTGTTTTGTTTTTGTTTTTTTGTTTTCAAATGTTGATTTTTGTGTGTTGTGTATTGTTATTTTTTGATATCTTTCGTGTTGTTGTTGTGTGGAAAATACTAATAAAATGCATTAAAAAAATAAAAAAATAAAGGGAGCGTGGCTCTTGGGGGCTTTCTGGGAGGCGGGGGAAGGGACAGAGCTGCGCGCCCTGTCTCTTCCCCCACCTCCTGCAAAAGCCAGGGATAGTCGCATGAAGCCAGAAGCTAGAACAGCAAGAGGGAGCACTGCGCAGGGCTCCCTCTCCCTGTTCTGGCTTCTGGGATAGCCGCGTAGCCTGCATTTGCTCCATAAGATGCACACACATTTCCCCTTACTTCTTAGTAGGGGAAAAGTGCATCTTATAGAGCGAAAAATAAGGTATTTTCAAAGGGGCTGTTATGGATAAGAGTCTGATGCTGTGCTAACCAGAGCCAATAATCACACCAGGATGTGGGGGTATTTTATTGAGACTGCAGTAATATGGTACTGGGAAATGGATTCCAAAGCCTATATATCTCATGGGTGCCCAGGAAATATTTTTATGCATGATGCTTAGATCAAGCCATCAGGAGGATATATCATGTTACATGCTGATTGGTTACAAAGCATTTTCGTAGAATCAAGGTATTTGCACACTATTCAGCTTTTCTGCTTGTTTTTCAGATTCATGGTAATACCATCTATCTTCTTCTACTGCTTCCTTATTCTGAAATCTAAGGGCAGGTTTCTCTCTCCTCTTTCTCACAAAACTGAGAATATGGGCAATTTTTATTCACCACAGTCATGGGATGCTTTTTCATACCTCACCTGGCTTACCACATCCTTGCCATTATAGCCCCAAATCATATTATAGCACCACATAGCTCCAAAGCAATTAAACAAGTCCCCACAACATTTCTTAGTATTTGCCAATTTGAATAGATACATTTCTTTTTCTGAATTTGAGGGAAAGGCATGGGATGTTTCTGGGACTGATAGTATATATGTGAGCTAAGGTTCATACTTTTCTTTTCCCAGATATGAATGACTGTACTAAATGCTCAGATGAAAACTATCCAAACAAGGAACGAGATATATGCATTCCCAAAGGCATCAGCTTCTTGTCGTATGAAGAACCTTTAGGCATCAGTTTAGCTATAGTTGCTCTTTCTTTTGCTTTCATCACAACTCTGGTACTGGGAACATTTCTGAAGAACCACAAGACTCCCATTGTCAAAGCCAACAACCAGAATATCACCTATACTCTCCTTGTCACCCTCTTGCTATGCTTTCTTTGTGCTTTACTGTTCATTGGCCAACCGAAAAAGATGACATGTCTCCTGCAACAAGCTGCTTTTGGCATCATCTTTTCAGTGGCTGTTTCCTGTGTACTGGCAAAAACTGTCACTGTGATTCTGGCTTTCACGGCCACAAAACCAGGATCCAGGATGAGAATGTGGGTGGGGAGAAGGCTGGCCAACTCCATTGTCATTTCCTGCTCCCTTATTCAAGCAGGCATCTGTACACTGTGGTTGGCAATCTCTCCCCCATTCCCAGATGTTGACAAGCATTCAATGCCTGAGGAAATTATACTAGAATGTAATGTGGGGACTGTGATTATGTTTTACTGTGTCCTTAGTTACATGGGCCTTCTAGCAATAATTAGTTTCACAGTGGCTTTCCTTGCCAGGAAATTGCCAGACATTTTCAATGAAGCAAAGTTTATCACTTTCAGCATGTTGGTATTTTGCAGTGTTTGGTTGTCCTTTGTTCCATCCTACCTGAGTACCAAGGGGAAATATACAGTAGCTGTGGAGATCTTCTCTATCTTAGCCTCCAGTGCTGGTCTATTAGGTTGCATCTTTTCCCCCAAATGTTATATTATTTTGTTGAGGCCTGAGCTGAATATTAGGGAACAGATAATAAGCATTAACAAAATGAAGAATTAAATATCTGTGTTTTGCTGTATGCTATGTAGGGAAAACACCTCACTTTATTACCAGCTTTTATTTACACTGCTGATTCAACTTCTAACCACTACCACCATAAATATGAGGGATGAAGGCCCTGCCCTTTGAATATGTTGATAGTTACACAGATGCATGTGTGAGAGAAAAATCACTGCTTTATTAGGGTTGCCATATTCCCAAAAGTGAAAATCCAGACATAGTTGTTCAGCCCTAGCTCTATTTCTCATTTTAAATAAATGAAGCAGTAGTTCTAGTGGAATAATCACGTGTGTTGGTTTGGTAATTGTCAGGGGACTCCCATCGGAACAGGGAAGGGAAGGAGAGGGGCAGTTGGGTTACAGGGAACCTCCCAAAATCTTGCGAAGCAGTTCCTCTTTGTGATGGGCTGGGATTCTGAGTCGGATGCTGAACCTGAGGAATTCCAGCCTGCACAGGATTCCCCGCTTCCAGAGCCATCTGAGCCGGGGCTGGGGCATGAGCCTGAAGGGTCCTCACCTGTGCTGGATCCTCAGGTGCAGGCACCAGCTGAGTCTGCTCTGGCTCCTGAGGTGATGGAGGACCCATTGCCTGCAGGTGCTCCACTCTCAGTCCCGTCAGAGGAAGCTGAGGTTGCCTCTGGGTCAGATAACCCTCCACCCTCTCCGGGGTTGTAGAGGCTTAGGGCAGAGAGGCAGAGGGAACTAAGTTCCCACAGGAGGAGTGCTCACCTCCAGGCCAGGAGAGGTGAGTCACCTGAGGATCAGGGCCATCCTATGCCTCAGGGCAGATAAATGCCAGCCAGCCTCACTCCCAAGTTGCGGAAGCAATATTGTTGGTCGCCAGTTCCTGCCTGAACCCTGCCCTGCTCCCGGCCTCAGCTTTTACAGACTGCCTCCATATTGCTCCTTCGACCTCGGACTGGACTTGGACCTTGCCTCTTGATCTACCCATGGGACCAGCACACTCTTCCTGTGGTGGGGAAAGCCACACCTCCAGTGGGGAAGAGGGGAAGGGACCAGAGGATGCTGCTGGGAGCCTTAGCACTACTCCTGGTCAAGCCAGCCAGGAGGGAAGCATGCCTCTTCCGTCGCCCACCCTGCGCAGAGGTGTAAAACGCACATAAGGAAGGAAAAGGCTGGGGGTGACTAAGCTATTATGTTGGGGGAGGACCCGGAAACGACCACTCCCGGATTCTGCTAGCGATTGAGGCAGACATGAACTTGTGGTTCTGCACTGTAAATAGTCTTGCACCAAAATAAAACCAGTAAAAGAGTCCTGACTGGTTACTCACGAGCAACCACCATTGCCCTCTGACAGTAACTGAAGCATTTTGAGCTTCCTTTTTCATCAACAAGGCTCCTAGAGTAGCTAGCAAAGATCAACAGTAATAAAGTTCTTGTCCTTAGGTTTACAGTATGTACATTATATTTTAAAAACACTCTCAAAGCTTCACTTGAACTTTGTGTATTCATATATATATATAGAGAGAGAGAGAGATAAAGATAAAGGGACCCCTGACCATTAGGTCCAGTTGTGGCTGACTCCGGGGTTGTGGCGCTCATCTCGCTTTATTGGCCAAGGGAGCCGGCGTACAGCTTCCAGGTCATGTGGTCAGCATGACTAAGCCGCTTCTGGCGAACCTGAGCAGCGCACGGAAACGCCGTTTGCCTTCCCGCTGGAGCGGTACCTATTTATCTGCTTGCACTTTGACATTCTTTCGAACTCACCCCGTCGTGGGGATTCGAACCGCCAACATTCTGATCGGCAAGTCCTAGGCTCTGTGGTTTAACCCACAGTGCCACCCGAGTCCCATATCTATATATCTATATCTACGGTACATCTTCATGGTTATGTGTGCTCTTGATTTTATTGGGACAGTCACGCTTGATCCTGTTTATACTGTTTCAGAATTTAACCCCTACAATATTTTGTTGCTGATCCATACTTGTCCTCTTATTATTTCTGGATTTCTTTTCTTGGTCTTGATCATCCCATCCCCAAATATCCTTTGCCATGGAAAATGGGTTCAGGAACCAACAGAGTGTTGGGTGAGATACTCTCCACTGGGAGAGTGGTTTGTTAGCAGAGAATCACAATGAAGAAAGCTCTTTCCACAGCAGCTACCTGCCTTAAAAGGTAGTGAGTATATTTTGGCCAAAAGGCCTTGCACATAGCACATTGATGGGACAGTGTAGGGACAGGTTTACACTCAATATACAGAGTTGGAAGGGACCTTGGGGGTGGAATTAACTATCCATAAACCAGTGGGCAGTCTGGTTGATTAGTAGATACATATCCTATGCCCAAGCCTGCAAAAAATCATCAATAATGTTGTGGCCTTATTTGATCCCAGCACAGTCCTTCGACGTATTTTATGTATCCACTGTGTGTTCACCAAACCCCTCATGGCTTCATTGCGCCTGGGCTCACAATTTAAATGCAGATTGATTTCCCTTCTTTGTATATATCAACAGGGAGGGCCTCTTCATAGCTAGTTTCTCATTCTCATTACAGTGGTGCCCCGCAAGACGAATGCCTCGCAAGACGGAAAAACCGCTAGACGAAAGGGTTTTCCGTTTTGAAGTTGCTTCGCAGGACGAATTCCCCTATGGGCTTGCTTCGCAAGACGAAAATACCTTGCGAGTCTTGAGATTTTTTTCGCTTTTCCCCCTTTATCTAATCTGCTAAGCCTTTAATAGCCTTTAATAGCCTTTTAGCAGCTAATCCCCTAAGCCTTTAAGCCTTTAATAGCCGCTAAACAGCTGATAGCGCTAATAGCGCTAATCCGTCAATGGGCTTGCTTCGCAAGACGAAAAAACCGCTAGACGAAGACTCTTGCGGAACGGATTAATTTCGTCTTGCGAGGCACCACTGTATTTGTTATGGCAGTGGTATCTGAATGCCATTTGCTACTCAGGAAAGCAAGTTTGTAATATGATGCTATTATTTTATTCTCCAACTCTATCATTACTTTCCCTCTGTTACTAGCTTTTCATGTCTACATGTTCTTGTATAACAACAACAACAACAACAACAGATTAGTATTGTGAATCAGGTTAATATAAAGCTGATGAAGACGAGAGAAATTTTAAAAATCTACTTAACACACAAATACAAAACACACACACTTGCAAACCTCTCGATTAAAATGTATAGCAAAGAACTTAAATTCAGTGCTTTATTCTTTTCTTCTTGTTAGCATTTCCCTGTTGTTCAAGTCAGGTCTTAACACAACAATATAACAAATTGGGGGGAAAATGCAACCTAACAATCCAGCACTAGAGGTTAAGATACAAAAGATCTCCACTGCTACCATATATTTGCCTTTAGTGCTCAAGTAACTTGGAACAAAAGATAACCAAACACTACAAAAGACCAACATGCTGAAAGTTATAAACTTGGCTTCATTGAAACTGTCAGGTAACTTCCTGGCAAGAAAAGCCATTGTGAAACTGACAGCTGCCAGGAAGCCCATGTAGCCAACAGCAGAGTAAAACATAGTCACAGAGCCCTCATTACACTCTAATATAATTTCTTCAGTCAGGGAATGCATGTCAGCATCTGGGAATGGGGGAAATGTTGCCAGCCACACAGCACATATGCCTGCTTGAATAAGGGGGCAGGAAAGAACGATTGAGTTGGTCAGTCTTTTCCCCACATACTTCCTCAACCTGGAACCTGGTTTGGTGGCCATGAAAGCCAGAACCACAGTAATGGTCTTTGCCAGCACACAAGAAACAGCCACTGAAAAGATGATGCCAAAAGCAGTTTGTCGGAGGAGACATGTCACCATCTTAGGTTGGCCAATGAACAATAAAGCACAAAGGAAACAGAGCAGGAGGGAGATGAGTAGAGTATAGGTGAGGTTTCGGTTGTTGGCTTTGACGATGGGAGTGTTCCGGTTCTTCAGAATTATTCCCAGCACCAGTGCTGTGATCAAACCAAAGGAAAGAGCAAGGAAGGCTAAACTAATGCCCAAAGGCTCTCCAAAAGACAAGAAGCTTATATTCTTGGGAATGCATGTATCTTGCCTCTTGCTAGGATAGTTTTCATCTAAGCATTTATTACAGTCACTCATATCTGGAAAAAGAAAGATGTATTCTGAGTTCACATAGTTGCCATCTATATCAACAGCACGATGTAACTGCTACCCTTGGACAGAGCAGTTCAAATAACATAATAGAGGAAGTGTTGATATGATAAAAAGTGTTCAGGGGTGAGTATCACTGTTTAAGGTCTACATGGATCTAAAGAAGCATCATAGTGTGGGACGATGCAGGGATAAAAATGATGGTAAACTATTTGGGATCATGTGTGCTAAATCTGGGAGTGATGTCATAACTCAGTAGCATTTACGTCCGATGCAGACTGACTTAAATACACACAGGCCATAATATCAACCTGCTTGTTACCTTCGAATCATATATGCAAATATAAAGAGTAATTCCCAGACTTCCGGGGTGGCGCCATCGGCAATGGCGGACTCCCTCTGAACTGGAGGGACTAGCTCTGCGTGAAACGGGTCCTTTCTGCTACGGCGAAGAGGGGACCCTGTTAAAAATCACAGGCGGATGAAGCCTGTGACCGTGGGACTCGGCGGGCACCCTTAGCGCCCCCCCCAACCCACAAAGGAACCCACTAACGGGCTCCAAAGTGAAGAGGGGGAAGTGGCGCGGTGCTGTGAGTCAACTGCTATTTCCGTGGAGCGAAGCCGCATAGCCGTTGCCGGAGAGCGCTGCCTTTTTCCTGGGACAATTTGGCTTCTAAAATAAGCACCTGTGAGTATTTAAACTTTGAACAATTGGACTTTAAATAAGGACTTGCGAGCAGAAAGGAATTGGACTTAAAGATTTACTTCAATTTGGTATTGAAACGGGAAGGTCTAAACAGGAAGTCAGCCTTCCGTTTCTTTGTAGTCAGAATAAAGCAAAGACAACGTAAACTAGAGCTTAGAAAATCGCTTCTAAAGGATTGGCTTTCATCATTTAAAATTGTCGAACCCCCCTTCGGCAGCAGGAGAAGAAGGGGGATCTTTTTTTGGACTGTTTAAACCTGCAGAAGTGAGTTTAAAGTAAAGTAACTTTCCACTGTCCTGATCCTGGAGCGGGGTGTCAGGACTAACGTATGAAGCTCATTGACCAGAGACAAACGTTTTTGACAGATAGTTAAAAGAAGAGAAACATAGTGATTCCACTGTTTCCTTTCACATTTTAAAGGAACAAATATTGACCA